AGAAGAAACATCCTGTAAAATTAAGAGACTTTGTTGTATTTTAAGTTATTGTTAATTATCTATTGGTTTAATGTAAGTGGCTATTGTTCTGGACGAACAATACCAAGGAAGGGGCAGTGCTACGACAGCAGAAGTCACGTTAAATTGCTGGTGCATTAGCTCTGCTGGCGTGCATGATTAGTTTCTCGAATTATCGGGGAAGTCCGAGATGCCCTCTTCGTTAGTATATAAGCCTGGCAGAGAAAGCCAGCGATACATGAATGAATGAAGAGAGAGCAGTAGTTACTTTGAGTTCTGTGTAATTTATGATTCTGTTAGTTTCGAGCTAGTTAGCCATAAAGTGTGTGTGTTTTGCACTCGTTGAGGGTGAAGTTATCGAGATCGTGAATCGCTATGATTTATAGCGTCTATTATAAAAGTTGTTAAGTTTAAAGTGACGAGAAACGTACTGATTGTGGAACTACTGTGTACTAAGAGTTTGTATTGAGGAAGAATAAACTGATTTAATCAAAAAGGACTTGTATTGCAGAAGATCCTCGGAAAGAATTTCTACCAGAAACAAACAAGCAAGCAGATACATAACAGTATTCACAACAAGAATAATCCCAAATTTTAGCATAAAAAGCCTTCAAGATTACTACTGACCAACCAGAGGGCATTTGGTATGTTAAGTTTTATATTTAGTATGTACAAAAGAAAAAACAGAAAATACATTTCCAATTCCCCATTACTAATTCCAATAAGTTTTATAAAAGATACAAGGCTATTATTGTACTTTAACATGGAAGAAGAAAGAAAAAAATACACCATTTTAAATAAATGAAAATTTCAAAACACTAAATTCACTAAAATACTACAGCTTTTGAAGTTTGTTAAAACAGAAGAGGTAAAATAAAATTGTCAGAGTCTTAAGTACGTAAGGTTGGGCTGGGATTCTTTTACAGTAAGTGTCTGTGACTTGTTGGCGATAAATTCAAACAATAAACGGACAGTACACAATCCACTTGTTTTAAAATAATATATTCAAAACAAGTCAAATGTATGTACAAAAATTCTTTACACTATAGAATATCACAGTTGTATCTGAAACTCTAAATAAATAATTCTCAAAAGTCCATACAGGCTGATTCAATTACTGTAGAATCCAGTTGACAAGATTAATTATTTTCCCAACTCTGTTTCTTAATGTACAATTTGCAATAGATTCATTTATGTTACTTTGTGGATTACCACAGTTGTATCTCGATCTTTAAATAATTGTATCCTTTTTGTCACAACCAAACCTGTCATAACTATCGCCTTTAAAATAATTACTTTTAACTCTCTTGTTATGAAAAGTAAATAATCATTAAATACTAAACCATCAAATAAACCAAACAATAACTCTTAAACCAGACAGTCTTGTATATCCAACAAATATGCAAATCAGTAGTTTGTGATATACTTACATTTTTTAAAACAAAAAATATGAGAGTTATTTGAAGTTCCTGTAAAAATGGTTTGTAAAACAAATGATTAATTTTTAGTATAACAGTAAAAATACAACAATAAACTGAAGCAAATACTTCCAGAAAAAAAGCTTAAAACATTTACATCAGGACTATAAAAGTAAAAACT